GTCAGATTTGATCGTTCGACATGCCACATGTTCTTCAAATGAATTGCGCAACAAAAAACCATGGGCATTAGCTGTGTCCCTAATCGACATTCAAGAAGAATGCCCCTCGAAAGACGCTCACAGCAGTTTGCTCACGCTTCAGATCAACAAAAATAATGAGTCCTTCCGTTGGATCTATGATAATAATAAGATATCAGAAGAGGAAGTAAGCCGTATATCATCACATTTGCTGGTTTTACTTGCATCTGCTCATAGCATAGATCAATCACAGAAACCTGTTGGCCAACTGAATTTGCTACCCAAAGCTGAGCGCGAACTGCTGCTCAATATCTGGAACAAAACTGACATAACTTATCCTGCTGACAAGTACATCCATCAGTTGTTCGAAGAACAAGTCAGGTGTGACGGATCAGCAATTGCCGTCGAATGTGAAGGAGAAACATTGAGCTATACGGAATTAAATGCACGGGCAAATCAGCTGGCACATTACCTGATCGCACAAGGCGTCAAACCAGAAGGTCGTATTGCACTTTGCCTAAAGCGCAGCACAAAAATGCTTATTGCCCTTCTGGGTATTTTAAAATCAGGCGGTGCATATGTACCTCTTGATCCAGCCCACTCAAGTCGAAGGTTTCAAATTATTCTGCAGGAAACCGAACCAATATGTGTGTTAACAGATTCTACTGGTCAAAGTGCACTTGGAGACCATCAGTTTTCAGTAGTGGATTTGGACAACACCTCGCTTTTCGGCTTACCGACCGAAAACCCAGATCCAGTCAAACTGGGACTCACTACTGCTCATTTGGCTTATGTGATCTACACTTCCGGCACAACTGGAACACCGAAAGGGATTTTGATTGAACATCAGCAGTGGACACGTCTCTTGAATGTTGCGTATGACAAATTTGGCTTTAATAAACAGGAAAAGTGGAGTTTATTTCATTCACTCTCTTTTGACGTTTCTGTATGGGAAATGTGTGGCGCGTTATTTACTGGAGGCCAGCTGATAATTGTGCCTTACAATATCAGTCGTTCTCCCCACGAATTCTATGAATGGGTCTGTACTAATGGCATAACCGTACTCAATCAAACCCCCTCCGCTTTTAAAATGTTTATGCAGGCGAAAAATATTAGTTCTACGTCTGATCGACTTCGATTCGTGTTCTTCCGTGGTGAAGAGTTAAATCAAATGATTGTAAAGAATTGGAGCGAAAAGAACGCCAATAATAAAACTATACTAATCAATATGTATGGAACTACGGAAACGCCAAGTGCCATCCACGGACGAGTTGAAATTTCGAAAGATTTTCATCCAATTGGACGTCCATTCTCAGATCTTTGTGTTTATTTGCTTGATCCACATGGAGAGCCGGTTCCATTGGGAGCCGAAGGAGAACTGTATATAGGCGGTGCTGGTTTGGCCCGTGGCTATCTTAATCGACCTGAACTTACCGTAGAGAGCTTTTTGTTCGATCCATTTAGTGAAAATCCAACAGCACGCATGTATCGCACCGGTGATCTGGCACGCTATCTACCTGATGGAAATCTAGTGTATCTGGGACGCATTGACCAACAGGTTAAAATCCGTGGCTTCCGAATTGAGCCCGGCGAAATTGAGGCCCGTTTAGTGGAACATCCTTCGGTGCGGGAAGCTGCTGTACAGCCATGGAAAAACGATACTGATAGTGATACCCGTCTGGTAGCCTATGTAGTGGCCGATCCAAATGCGTCACTTGCCAACAATCTACGTACATATCTTTCATCTCTATTGCCTGATTATATGGTGCCAGCAGCATATGTGTGTCTATCATCATTGCCACTCACACCAAATGGTAAATTAGACCGACGTGCACTTCCAACGCCGGACGATGAAGCATTTGCCCGTCAACTATATGAAGAACCGCGAGGCGAAATGGAAGAAAAACTGGCTGCAATCTGGAGTGAATTGTTGGGTATTGAGCGAATCAGTCGAAATGAAAATTTCTTTGCATTGGGCGGGCATTCTCTTCAAATCGTTAATCTGCTATCACAGTTGCGACGAAGTGGACTGGATACCAACGTTCGGGAAGTATTTGATGCACCCTCATTAGCTGTACTAGCTGAGACTCTGAGAGATCATATGGCAATCAGAACTCCACCCAATCTGATTACCGTCGAAAGCACTGTTATTACTCCAGAAATGTTGCCGCTTATCGATCTATCGCAGGAAGAAATTGATGTGCTGGTCGAACAAGTGCCTGGTGGTTTAACCAATATTCAAGATATTTATGGGCTAGCACCATTGCAGCAAGGAATCTTATTTCAGCATTTGATGGCTAAGCAGGGCGATCCATACTTAATAATGAGTCATTTACAATTTAGTGATCGTGAAACACTTGATAACTACGCAATCGCGCTGCAACGGGTAATTGAACGACATGATATTCTGCGAACCGCCTTCATATGGGAAGGACTTAGTGAACCGGCACAAGTTGTCTTGCGCCATGTTCCATTCTTACTCTCCAAAGTCATACTAGATGAAACAAATGAGTCAGCTCTAGAACAATTAAATAACCGCTTCAACCCGCGTCACTACCGTCTAGATTTAAAACAAGCACCACTGTTGCGTTTGTTGGCCGCTCCAACGCATAAAGGCAATTGGATGGCATTGCAGCTGATGCATCACATAGTTGGTGATTACGCCTCCCAACAGAGACTGCATGCAGAAGTCCGGAATATAGTCGATGGAAAGGGTGACCAATTGGCAAAGCCTGTACCATTCCGCAATGTAGTGGCCCAGGTTCGTCTGGGTATTAGTCAGGCCGAACACACGCATTTCTTTAGAGAAATGCTTAGTGATGTTGATACACCAACACTACCGTTTGGTTTGAGCCACGTTCATGACGATGGTACTAGGATCGATCAGAAGCACCTGAAGCTGTCAAAGGAACTCAATAATCAATTGCGAGCACTTGCACGTCATTTCCATGTAAGTCTGGCCAGTCTTTGTCATTTGGCCTGGGCACAGGTACTTGCCCGTGCTAGCGGAAATGAAACAGTGGTATTCGGTACAGTACTACTTGGTCGTCTACAGTCTGGGGAAGGAAACGAGAGTGTTATGGGTATGATGATTAACACGCTTCCGTTGCGGCTAGATATTGATGATACTACAGTAGAAAACGCTGTACGCAACGTTCATTCACGTTTGAGTGCTTTACTATCTCATGAATTTGCATCTTTAGCGTTGGCGCAACGCTGTAGTGGAGTGCCATCTTCTTTGCCTCTTTTCAACGCATTGCTAAACTATCGTCATAAATCGCAGACAGAGCATGCCGTCGCACCACCCGCTGGAGTGAATATTCTCAGTAGTGTAGGACGGATAAATTACTCAATAAACCTGGCACTGGACGATGATGACAACACACTGAGTCTTATAGCTCATGTGGCGTCACCGCTGTCAGCAGCGAAGATTTGTGGTTATATGCAACAGGCTCTCGTCTCGCTTGTCGATGCTTTAATAAACACACCACAACGAGCTGTACGAACTTTGACAGTGATGCCACCAGAAGAACGTGAGATGCTGTTGCATACATGGAACCAGACGACAATTAATTATCCACCTGTTTGTTGTCTTCATCAATTATTTGAGGCACAAGTGGAGCGTAGAGGACAGGCCATAGCGATGCGATTTGAAGGAGAAACTTTGAGTTATGCAGAACTCAATGCACAAGCTAACCGATTGGCCCATCATTTGATCATGCGAGGAGTTAAGCCAGATGATCGCATCGCAGTTTGCGTTAAGCGAAGCACTAAATTACCCATAGCTCTATTGGGTATTCTAAAAGCCGGTGGTGCTTATGTACCAATCGATCCGGAATATACTAGTGAACGGTTACAAAACATTTTGGTGGATGCGGATCCATTGCTTTTGTTAGCAGATACCACTGGCCAAAAAGCACTTGGAGATTATCATGTGTCTTTGGTAAATTTGGACTATACGTTACCCGGTGGCCTGTCAAGTGATAACCCGGATTTCTCAAAACTCGGTGTAACTTCATCTCATTTGGCATATATAATTTATACTTCTGGTTCTACCGGAAGACCGAAAGGGGTGATGGTGGAGCATAAGTCTCTTCTCAGTGTGGTTCAAAGTCTAGCTTTCATTTTTGATGTAACTCTGAAGAGCCGCATTTTACAGTTTGCGTCCTGTTGTTTTGATGCCAGTGTTAGTGAAATCGTGGGAGCTTTAACAACCGGAGCCTGCCTTTGCATCCCAAATGATGAAGACCGTCAAACGGACACTTCCTTGATTAGATATATTAATACCGAAAAGATTACCCATGCAACTTTAACGCCGGCCTTGTTTCGAAACACACAAAATCTAATCAATTTAACTGACTTGCAAGCTTTGATTTTAGGTGGCGAAACACCATCGCTATCGTTGCTAAAAACTGCCGTTATGCACACTGCAGTTTTCAATGCTTACGGCCCAACTGAGGCAACCATATGTGCGACTACTTGGTCGTGTCCAATTGATTTCGAAAGCGAATCGGTGCCTATGGGTCGTCCAATATCTAACAATCGTATTTACATCCTAGATGCACAAGGTGAACCTTTGCCATTGGGAGCCGAAGGAGAACTGTATATTGGTGGCGCTGGTGTGGCCCGTGGCTACCTTAACCGACCCGAACTTACTGCGGAACGCTTTTTGTCCGATCCATTCAGTGAGATATCCGAGGCACGCATGTATCGCACCGGTGATCTGGCTCGTTATTTGCCTGACGGAAATTTAGTATATCTGGGACGTACTGATCAGCAGGTAAAAATTCGCGGTTTCCGAATTGAGCCCGGGGAAATAGAGTTACTTGGTTAAACATCCTCTGGTACGTGACGCTGCTGTAGTTTTAGGGAATAACAGTTCTGATACTGAAGCCCGTCTAATAGCATACATAGTGGCCGATGTAGATTCATCTCTTGCTTACTCCTTGCGAACTTATCTAGCATCTTTGCTACCTGACTATATGATACCTGCAGCTTATGTTCATCTTTCATCTATGCCACTCACCCCAAACGGAAAATTGGACCAGCGTGCATTGCCTGCTCCGGATGATAAGGCTTTTGCCCGTCAATCTTACGAGGCTCCAATAAGTGAAACAGAAATAAAACTAGCCTCAATATGGAGTGAACTGTTGGATATTGAGCGTATCAGTCGGCATGATAATTTCTTTGCGTTGGGTGGCCATTCTCTCCTGATTGTAAGGATGCTGGCAAAGTTGCGAAAAATCAATTTGGACACAAACGTCCGGGAGATATTTAGTACTCCCTCCTTGGCCGAATTGGCCAAAACCCTAGTCCATCATAAGGCGATAATCATCCCACCTAATCCGATTACCGCAGAAAGCACATTTATTACTCCGTACATGTTGCCGCTTATCACTCTATCTCAGGCGGAAATTGATACACTGATCACACAGGTGCCGGGCGGTGTGGTCAATATCCAAGATATTTATGGATTAGCGCCTTTACAGCAAGGCATCTTGTTCCATCATATAATGGCTGAACATGGTGACCCATACTTGATTCTAAGACGTTTGGAGTTTCAAGACCGAGTGTCATTGCAAACTTATGCGTCTGCCCTGCAACAAGTAATTGAACGACATGATATTCTGCGCACCGTCTTCATATGGGAAGGACTGAGTGAACCGGCACAAGTTGTCTTGCGTCGAGTTCCATCGTTACTTGCCGAAGTTACCTTGAATGGTACCGATGAACCGGCACTAGAACAATTAATTAACCGATTTAACACACGTCACTATCGTCTAGATTTAAAGCAACCCCCTCTCCTACGTCTGATAGCAGCACCAATGTCTGAAGGTGGCTGGGTTGCATTGCAATTGAATCATCATTTGATTGGAGACCATATAACATCAGAAAAACTGTATGCAGAAGTGAAGGCAACAAATGATGGACAAAACGATCAGTTGGTCACACCCGCACCATTCCGTAATCTAGTAGCCCAAGCACGCTTAGGTATTAGCCAAACTGATCATGTTCAATTCTTCAAAGAAATGCTAGCCGACATTGAAACGCCAACCTTACCATTTGGTCTGAATGATGTACATAGCGATGGAACAGAGGTTGATGAAGAATATCTAAAACTACCCAAGGCACTCAATAACCGATTACGGGCTCATGCGCAAAATTTACAGGTCAGCCTGGCCAGTTTATGTCATTTGGCATGGGCACAAGTACTTGCCCGTGCCAGTGGAAGCGAGAAAGTAGTCTTCGGTACTGTATTACTCGGCCGCTTACAATCTGGAGAAGGTAACGATAGTGCTATGGGGTTACTTATGAACACATTGCCATTGCGATTGGATGTTGATGCGGTATCCGTAGAGTCCGCTGTGCACCTCACTCATTCTAGATTGAGTACGTTGCTGGAACATGAACATGTATCCCTGGCGTTGGCGCAACGCTGTAGTGCAGTGAAAGCTAATCTGCCACTTTTCAACGCGCTTCTCAATTATCGTCATAATCAACACACCGAGCACATCACTACGCCCATACCAGGTGTTACCTTCCTAGACTCTGAGGAGCGAACCAACTACCCAATAACGCTTTCAGTAGAGGATGATAGAGATGCACTTGGTGTAACAGCCCAAGTGGTATCTCCGATATCAGCAGCACGTATCTGTGCTTATATGCAACAGGCTCTTGCCTCTCTTGCCGATGCATTAAGTAACTCACCAAAACAACATATACGAACATTAACCATCATGCCACAGGAAGAACGGGAGATGCTGTTACGCAGTTGGAACCAAACGACAGTTAATTATCCATCTGTTCGCTGTTTTCATCAGTTGTTTGAAGAGCAGGTAGAGCGCGACGGACAGGCTATTGCCGTAGAATGGGAAGGAGAAAAAATAAGCTATGCAGAACTCAACGCACAAGCAAATCAGCTTGCACATTACCTAATTACAAAAGGTGTCAAACCGGATGACCTCATCGCGTTCTGTGTTAAACGTAGCACGAAAATGATTGTAGCTATTTTAGGAATTCTAAAAGCTGGCTGTGCTTATGTACCACTGGATCCAGCCTATTCCAGCCAACGGCTGATGAATATTCTGCAAGATTCTATGCCACATTATTTGTTGGCAGATGTCATTGGTGAAAAAGTACTTGGAAATCATCAAATACCAATTTTGGACCTAGATCAAAAGATAACTAACCGCTTTTCAACCGATAATCTTAACCCGACTAAACTGGGACTAACTCCGAACCATTTGGCATATGTTATTTATACATCGGGCTCAACCGGAACACCAAAAGGAGTAATGATCGAGCATCAATCTGTGTACAATCTAGCAAATGCCATGAGGCCGCTGTTTGGAGTTAACCCCATGAGCCGTGTACTTTTCTTTGCTACTTGCGCTTTTGATGCTAGCCTGTGGGAAATTCTAATGGCATTAACAAGTGGAGCCTGTCTTTGCATGCCCAACGAAGAAACACGGCACATGGACATCGCCATGCTTAATTATTTGAGTACTGAAAAGATTACACATGTAACTTTACCACCGGCTTTGTTTCGGAACACACAAGATCTAACCCATTTAAATGGCTTGCAAGCGTTGATATTGGGTGGTGAAACACCTCCCTTATCCCTGTTACAAACTGCTTCTATTCGCACAAAAGTATTTAATGTTTACGGTCCCACTGAAACGACTATTTGGTCGACTATGTGGTCGTGTCCAGTTGATTTTAACAACGCTTCGGTACCTATTGGGCGTCCATTCTCTAATACACAAACTTACGTGCTAGATTCACACGGAGAACCAGTTCTGTTGGGAGCCGAAGGAGAATTGTATATTGGTGGCGCTGGTGTAGCACGCGGCTACCTCAATCGACCTGAACTTACCGCAGAATGTTTTCTCCCCGATCCATTCAGTGAGAATCCAGAAGCACGTATGTATCGCACCGGTGATCGGGCCCGTTATCTTCCTGATGGCAATTTGGTCTTTTTGGGACGCACCGACCAACAAGTAAAAATTCGTGGTTTCCGAATTGAACCTGGCGAAATTGAGGCCCGCCTCATTGAACATCCTTTGGTGCACGACGCCGTTGTTTTGTCATGGAAAAACCACTCTGATACTGATGCGCGTCTAGTTGCATATGTAGTCGCCGAACAACATAAATCGCTTTCTCAGAATTTACGTACCTATCTGGCGACTTTACTGCCTGACTATATGGTGCCGGCGGCTTATGTTTGTCTATCAGCGTTGCCACTCACACCCAATGGCAAGTTGGATCGACGTGCACTGCCACCCCCGGACGATGAGTCATTTTCGCGTCATTCATATGAGGCTCCAAAGAATGAAATGGAAATAAAACTAGCCACAATCTGGAGTGAACTACTGGGAATTGAACGCATCAGCCGGCATGACAATTTCTTTGAACTAGGTGGACATTCACTGATGGTGATGCAATTTGTTACCCAGGCAAAGATACGCTTTTGTATACACGTTGATCCTCGTGGTTTATTTTCATTTCCAATATTGAAAGATTTCGCCGAACGCGTGACCAACTCATCTGATAGATTGTATTGTGATGCAGCCGTTCCAGCACGTCAATATGGAGATCAAACACCTCTATTTCTATTGCCAGACGGCCGCGGAGATACTTCCTATGCTTTTGAACTAGCACACGAGATTGATAAAAGTATTCCTATCTACGTGCTACTGTGGTCGTCGCCAGAAAATGAACAGCCCACATCCATTGAGGAAATGGCCACAAGAATGATCCCTAAGATAAAGGAAGTACAGCCAAATGGTCCTTGTGCAATAGCTGGTTACTCTTCTGGGGGTATCCTAGCCTATGAAATAACAAAACAACTCATAAGCAGTGGTTATCCGGTTTCGTTCTTAGGTTTAATCGATACGTACTTTCCCAGAGTATCGGATATTCCAAATGAAACCGGTATGTTTTTGAATTTTATTGTATTTGTATCTCCGTTTTTCAAAACATTGAGTGATACAGTGTGGTGGGAGCGTGTGAGTAAGCTTTCTCTCACCGAAGCCATTGAAGAGGTGAAAGAAAAGAATATAGATTTGAAAAATTCAGACATTGATTGGGAAGTTCTGTTGTTGAAACAACGAGTTCATTACCAAAACATATGTAGGGTGTACAAGGTCAATTCGTTGCCAATTATAGTAGACTTATTTAAGGCAACAGAATTTCTTCTGTCACCTACTGGCAATGAGTACTTGGACAAAAATATTCAAAAACGTCTTGATTGTGCGAAGAAATTATATAACCGACCTAAACTTGGTTGGGAAAGTGTTCCCAGCTTACGTGTCATTCTTGTAAACGGTGGTCATTTTACAATGATGTCAGATCCAAAACATAGAGCTTTATTGGGAAGAAGAATAACTCAGTCTATGCTTTCTAAATAAATATAATCGCCAACATTGAGGTGGCCCAAAAACGGACGGTTTCAGGCCCGAGAAATCTTAAAATATATCCTTTTCAGAAGCGGCACACATACATACTTACTGTATAATAATAATGATAATTTATTTTATTTATTTATTTTCACCGTCTGAACACAGACTGAATGTATGTATATTAGGGCGGGTCAATTTTTTAAGAGGTCTGGCTTAACGAAATTCG